GTTTCAAAGATGTAAAAGAGACAGACAGACACAAAGGTAGAAAAAAAGGTAAGGTGAGTAATGTGAAAATATTCGAATATGGCATCGAGTGAGGTGATGGTAGTTTGAAGTGAGAAGTCAATTGCCAGTCAGTAGACTTTTTTGCCGTATGAATATACGTTGCCCAGGGTGCTCCACGTGGAGGTAAGTCTATTGCGCACCCCGAGATCGAATCATAACACACTAGGAACTGGGAAAGTGGTTACAATGATCTTTCATCTTACTGTGCAGTTTATTTCCATTTAAACCACTCATTATGAAAATTAATCCTGTAGCTCTATATCTCTGTACATTTTGAAAATAAATTCAATCATAACTTTAGATGACAAGTGAATAACATTTAAACTCGAGGATATATAGTCAGAAAGCTGTAAACTGTTAGTCAAAAGCTTACAGTCAGAAAACTTAGTCAGACTAAGCAAATCACATTAGACGCTTATTTGACTCCTTTAATGATTCTTAAACTTGGGGTGCGCGATAGACTGACCTCCACGTGATGGACTCTGGGAAACATATACTCATACTGCCAAAAGTCAATAAACCGGCAGTTCACTACTGACTTCAAACTACCATGACCCGATTTTAAGTCATATTCCACCGCTTCCACAGTACTCACCTCAATTTTTTTCTCTACCTCTCTGTCTATCTCTTTTACATTTGTGAATCTTTCTTCTGTTTCCGCACCCTACTTTTGTGACGTTGACGTTCCTACCCTCTGTGAAGCTTGGAGGCAACTAAAGGGCTAATGATATAAATAAATATAAATAATTCTAGAAATAATCTACTTTACAACGGAATAAATTGTAATCGCCGCAATAATTTGCAAGATTTCTTGGAAACATAAGATTTTGTTAAACGAACTTTATATTATAAACAGTTCAATTATATACGATTTGAATTGAAGCCAAATGCATCGTGATCCACAAACAAGGGTAAATGAAAATTTACATATGGTGTTCAATATGAGATTTTAAGTGAATTTCGCTAACACATTCAGAAATATTTGAGCATATGCTCAACTTAGTTCGCTCTGACGGAATTGTTTCACCACTAACCAAGAAAGCTATCCTCCATCTTTATCTTCATTATTAGAACAATTAGTCACTGAATACTAAAGATTCTCAAATTCAAATAAAATTCGACGTTTAGGTCCGAACGTCAAAGCCAAAATAAAGGACATTTAGTATTGCGCAGGTTCTGCTAAATTGACTTTAATGAAAACGTATAAACTGGACAGTCTATCAAACGCCTTTTGGCGCATTTTGATGATTTTGCGAGTATGCACTTCGAGTTGAGAATTTCTCGCAGGTATAAAACCTCGAAATTAAACGTTCCAAACATCAGTCATCAATTGCCTTCTAAACCTCTTCAATCATAATGACTTGCTGTGGTGGTTATTGGAACGGGTAAGTAAAAGCTTAATTAAAAAAATAAACTTTGAATTCTCTGAGCGGCTTTTTTCTTGAGAATTCCACTTATTAATCAGTAATAGTTTAAAAAATGCTTTTCAATTTTACAGGTTTTAGAAAGTAAATAATATTACCATTATCAATGCATTATAGTGCTGCTTATGCGTTTAAAAGATTATTATATCAACGAATGAAATTCCCTATTTTATAATCACTCTTAAAGCTTTCGTTCTCACAAGTGTATTCCTTTTTATTTGGGCAATCACTATTACCTTAAGCACACAGTGCTATTTACTTATGTAAAAGTGATTCTCATCGATTTATCGATTGCTTAAATGGCATGAATTTCTCGATAAACGAACTAATCAAAACAAACCAATTTTACCTATAGGAGACCAGCGATCTTATTGATTTTTAAATAATTAATTTACTGCAAGCATTGCCAAGTTTTGGGCAGCTTTGTTTGCCAATTTATTAAAATTCTAGCCATCAAACTCTGGAATATAAAAAATATGAGGACAATTAAAGTAGAGATTTCAATTCTTCTTTCCTTTTTTATAGTTGCCCCTGCATTGCATGTGGACCCTGTTGTGGCTGTTTTGATCACAACTGGTGTGGCTGTGGATGCAACGGTTGCTGCGGTGGTTGTGGCTGTGGCTGTGGTGGTTGTGGCTGTGGTTGTGGCTGTGGCTGTGGCTGCGGATGCGGTTGTGGCGGTTGCTGTGGAGGATGCTGTTGTTAGATACTCAAATTGTTTCAAAATTTGATCCATAAATATAGAGCATCGTTTTATTACTTGGTCTGTTTAAATTTTTAATCGTCTTGGGTAATTGAGAAGAGACAAAGATAGAGGCAGTTATTATTATTATTAATGGGTGGTGATATCGTAATAACACGAAAGGAAAACCCGTTTAATTTGGCCATACTTGTTAAAAAATTTCAACGGGGAACTAGTAGTGAATAGCACAAAAATAATTAGAGTAGTAATATTAGTAAAGCTAATATTATTAATAGCGCTAAATTCAGAAACTTAAAGTGTGTTACTGATAGAGCTAAGGACTTTAATCTTGAGAGGTAATGAAGACGGTCTGCTTGAAATTACATAAAACAAGATTTACCTAAACATTTTTCATGTTTTTCGTCTAAAAATTATCTTCTGCGCATTTTCCACATTTTCTTCAGTCCGCCTTCCATTTTTTTCACTTATGTTGGAATACTTAAAAGCTATTTCGTCGTGCAATGGAAACGTTTTCGGAAAAAACAGAGTAGTTTATCATTTTTATTAAAGTTGAATGGTATTTAATAAATGGGAAAACTAAGAAACAATTCAAAAAAAGTATTCATGAATTTAATAAAGTGTATAAAGATTTAGAAATTATGGCAATATATAATTTGGAGGAAAAACACGAAAGCCATAATTTTTCGTTTTTATTGACTTCTGGCATTTCTATCGATTTTGAAATCAAAATTTGGCACAGAACAAACGAAAGTATAGTGTGGAACGCGCAATACATATACAGATGAATTATGACATCTCATGCGCTATCGGAAATTCTGGAAAGTGGGGACGTGTTACTGATGGCGTAAAGGAGAGAATAAGGTCAAGAGAGTAGAGACATCTCGGCCAATTAATAATCAATAGCTATTGCAGGATCGGCGTGTCCAAAACCGTATTTACTTAATTAGATCTGTGCCAATGACATGACAACCTGAATAAGCACATCCCACTTTCTTACCTTCTGTCTCCTCGATATTGTTGAGGTGGACTGACTAATTTCAGGACTTACTTTATATCAAGGGATTTTATTTCACGTAGATCTTTGGGTTTAGTTTAACATTCCTCTGTACACAAGCTCTCTCTCTCTCGCGTTTACTTATTTGCCATAAAATAGAGTATGTGATTCAATAACAACACCCACTGAACTTCAATTTCTAAATTCTTCTAGTTGATCATCAAAACATTGGAAGAAGGGGGGTGCGCAATAGATTCACCTCCAAGTGGTGCATCCTGGGTAACGTATACTCATACAGCAAAAAAGTCTATAAACCGCCAATTGACTTCTGACTTCAGACTACTATGACCCGACTCAATGTCATATTCGACAACTTCCACAGTACTCACCTCACCTTACCGCTACTTTACCTTGATGTCTGTCTACTTGACACCTTTGAAGCATTTTTCTGTTCCCCTTCGCCAATTTTGTGGCTTTGATGTTCTCAACCCCCCCCCCTCCCCTCTATGAAGCTCGAAGTCAACTAAAGGACTACTAATAACTCTCACAAAGCCTCCCTTTTGATACAAATAAATAAATGAATATTTCATTTAGGCATCCCCTACAATCGCCTACCTTCCTGCTCTGCTTGACTGCAATAAAGTGACTTTAAAATGAACGAACTCAAGATAATCTTAATTCCATGCCCTATTTTCTTGGTAAGGGGTGTGCGATAGACTTACCTCCACGTGGTGCACCCTGGGCAACGTATACTCATAAGGCAAAAAGTCTATTAACCGGCATTTGACTTCTCACTTCAAAATACCATGGCCCAACTGCTTGTCATATTCGACCTCTTTCACAGTACTCATCTTACCTTTTTCCCTACCTTTATATCTGTCTGCCTCTTTTACATCTGTGAATCGCTCTTCTATTCCCCACCCATCGACTTTCTGCTACTTTGATGAACCTTCCCTCTGTGAAGCCCGAAGTCAGCTAAATGGCTAATGATATCTATCAAAACGCCTGACATTTGAAATAAATAAATAAATAATTTTCTTGGTAATTACTGAATTATAAGGCTTAAAATAGGGAAAAACATTTATATTAATGTTTGTTTGAAAAGGCAAAAAATCACGAATGAATAGCAACCATAAGGGCATTCTTGGGTAACCTAAAACATTTTATAAATCGTTAGTGAATTTATAAATTGGTTAATTTAGGTGAAAAATGAATAATTTCATAATTTTGAACATTAATATCAAAATAACATGCTTACATTAATTTTAATCCAAAGAATATCGCTCATGAAGAATTTTCACATTCTTCGGTGCATGTTATAAATCTGAATTAAAAAGTTCGTTTTAAAGTAATTAGCGTACAGGCTCTAATTAAGAAAAGAAGCCCTACAGGTGAATTAAACGTCATCCCGAGGAAATAATTCTCCAACTTTAGGACACATTGATTCAATTTTTTTCTCAATTGTTTTAATATCCATTTT